TCGAGCTAGATCTTCTGCACAGGACTCCGTGGGTGACAAAGGACATAGAAGCCAGCTACTGAGAGACAGAGGAGGGCAGAGAACAGATCTGGGAGTCAAGGGAGAATAACCGGCATCGGAGGTGAAGTACAGGGAACGGCGCCTGACCCATAGCAAGCTTGGGTAGCATCTACCAATCTTTTTCCCTTCCCATATGTGTGCCTAGGTGGTGTCCACAGGGCATGTGAGCTTGCCAGAGAGAGACAGAGAGCGAGAGAGTGAGAAAGCACCCCACTGTGGGAGATGGTCATGCCATATTCCCATCTCCTCCATCTCGCTCTTCCTTCTTTTGGGATTTGGGGCACAATTGCACTTGCACCTGGTGTGTTTTTCAAGCCACAAGGTCCAGGACTTGAACTAGGTAGTCAGTCATATGGGATCCAGGTGCCTAAACCAGCATGCCATCAGTTGCCCTTCCCCCCCCCCATCTTTTTAAGATTTTGGCTACAGGATGCATGTGCTGGTCAGAAAGAGACAATGAGAGGGAAAGTGAGAAATCACCCTCCGAGGGGATGACCGCGCTGCAATCTCTTCTCCTCCTGGGGTTTTGGCACACTTGCACACATGCCTGGCATGATTTTCAAGCTGCTGGGTCCAGGATTTGAACTGCAGTTGACCACGTGGGAGTCCAATGCCTTAACCACCTGTTACCACCACCACCACCCCTTTTTAAAAGTTTCTTTCTCTCTTCTATGAGTGAGAGACAGAGAGAGAAGCGGGTAGCCCTCACAGCAGGGTCCCGATGCTGCCACCTACCTCTAGCCTCCAGCTGGCCCCTGGGTCATGGGCAGGTGTGTGTCTGGTGTGCTCAGGGAAGTCTCCAGCCTCAAACTGGAAGCCTTCCTGTGTGGGTTTGCCCCATAGCATGTCACGTTTGACCACCGCCCCACCATCCGGCCCTGTCCTTGTTCCTCACAACTGCATGGCACTTCACGATCCTCTTTGTGCCACAGTTCACTTGGGTCCCCGCTTGTGGACATTTGGTTTATTGTAATCCTGTCCTGTAGACAATGTGCAGTGAGTGACCTCGGGTAAATGTCCCCTTGGGCACGTGATGTGACCTTTTGCTGTGAGGCTGTCCTCATGCCAGAGACTGTACATACACCCTCTTCTCACTCCATCCTCACAAAGGAGGAAAATGGCGTGCAGAAGGAATGTCCCTTGCAGCTGGTGCAGGCAGAATGGGAGTACTCTCTGACTACACAGACCCTACCTTCGGGAGCACCCCACCTCCCCTGGGGTCTGCCCCTTGCTCATCAGGTGAGCTGAACAGAGCATCTCCCTTCAGTTACAGCCGCTGTCTGGAGCTCATGCTGACCCATGTGTCCCACCGTGGTCCCATGTGCCACCTCATGGTGGCATCCCACAATGAGGAGTCTGTTCACCAAGCAACCAAGCGGTATGAGAGGGGGGCATGGGGAAGAGATGCCCACGGGAAGGCTCCCTCCCTTTCTCTCTCTGGCTCATATTCAGGAATGGACAGAGGGTGTCGGGTGTGGAACAAGAGGGACAGTGCAGTGTTCTGGGGAGGATACTGAAAGTATTTAGGCCCATGGGACCAGCAGGTGGTGTGGTGGTTAAGGCGCTGGACACTCCCACATGGCTGACCAGGGTTCAAGTCCTGAATCTGGTGGCTTGCTTTCTCACTTCCTCTCTCTCTCTCGCCCTCTTTCTTTCTCTGGTCAAATTAAAAAATAATAATAATGAATGAATGAATAAATAAAATTAAATTAAATTAAAATAATTATTAAAAAGAAAGAAAGAAAGAAAGTATTTAGGCCCTGATCTCCTGCAGGTCCTCTAGGCCCCAACCAGCAAGGCCTTGCTGGGACACAGGAGGTCTGGGGGTTCCAGAGAAGTGACTGGGCCTCACTGGGGGAGGGGGAGAGAGTGAGGAGGCTCTAAGGGACTCAGAAGTGTGGTTATTTATCATCAAATTTGGAACTACCCCAGTATCTGAATGACTGGAACAGCTGTGTGGTTGTGCAGCTCCAGGTCCAGCCACTGTCTGGATTGGTGATGTGGCCTTTTCTATAGCATGTGGGAGCTGGGAATTCCTCCGGATGGGCCTGTGTGTTTTGGACAACTCCTGGGCATGTGTGACCACGTCTCCCTGGCATTGGGTATGTGAACGGCCCATTCCCCCATCTCCCTAACGCCATCCCCATTCCAGCCCCAGCTGCAGGCTTCATTCCCTCCCAGTCACATCCCCCTGCTGTTCCCAACCAATGTCCAGCCAAGCTCCAGTCCAGAGCCTGCACTGGCCCAGCCTCCACCCTTCCAGATAGATCTGTCTTTCCCACATCTGAAGGCCTTGCAGGCCTGTGTCTACATGTGCTATCTGTTGTTTCTGCTGGTCCCGATAATGGTGTCTTGTTTCCTGCGTGCTTTGTTCTCTTTACTGTGCTGCGCCCCAGGGCCTGACACCAGAGATTTCTGTTTCCTTCTAACAGATGCTAAAGGATAAAGAAATCCCTTCTCTTGGGACCAGCAGTTGGCGTAATGGCTATGTCGCTGGACTCTCATGTAGTCGACTGTGGTTTGAGTCCCGAATCCAGTGGCTTAAAACTCATGCCAGGCATGTGTGCATGCGTCCTCACGATCCCTAGAGGAGAGTCAAGGAGAAGGGACTGCCGCGTGGCCATCCCCCCTGGGGGGGTGATTTCTCGCTTTCTGTCTCTCTGTCTCTCTCTGTCTTTCTGGCAAGTGCACATGCCCTATAGCAAAAACCTCTCAAAAAAAAAAATCCCTTCTCCCCAAATTCCTTAATGAGGAGGTAAATTTGGGTTGCAAATGTGTGAGCGGGTTAGCCCCATGCTGCAACCTCTCAGAGATGGATTGGTCTGTTTTCTTCCCTGCTCTACTGTGGCCAAGGTCATTCTTCGGAAGTAGGGGAGGTGAGAGGAATGACCTCTCTTTCTCTTTTACTCTGTGGTGTAGTGGTTGAGAGAGCCAGATCCCACGTAACCAACTGTGGTTTGCATCTTGGCACTCATAGCTTGAAAAATACACTGAATGTGAGCATATACGTGCCCAAAATTCTGACAGGATGGAGGAATGGAGGAGAAGGGACTGTGGCGTGACCTTGTCCCCTGGAGGGCTGCTTTCTCCTCTCCCTGCCTTTCTATTTCTCTCTGGTGAGTGCACACATCCTCTGGAGAAAGACACACATCACAAAAAGCTCTTATTATAAGGCTATAGCTTTTCTGGGACCCAGCTTTATAACTCTCATGGTATTCAGGCTTTGAACCTAACCTTTTTTTTTTTTTTTTCTGGAGAGGTTTTTGCTGTAGGGTGCGTGCGCTCACCAGAAAGACAGAGAGACAGAGAGACAGAAAGTGAGAAATCACCACCCAAGGGGATGGCCACGCCGCAATCCCTTCTCTTCCATTCTCCTCTCGGGATCTTGGGCACACACACACACACGCACGCACACACACACACATGCGCCTGGACTTGATCTGTGCAATTAGCTATATGGGACCCAGCCACCTTAATCACAGGTTGCCCCCCCTCACTTTTTAAAGTTGTTTTTCTTTTTTTTTTTTTTGAGAGGTTTTTGCTATAGGGCACGTGCACTCGCCAGACAGATAAGAAAGAGAGAAACAGAAAGCGAGAAATCACCCCCCCAGGGAGGATGGCCATGCCACAATTCCTTCTCCTCCATTCTCCTCTCGGGATCTTGGGCACGTACGCACACGCGCCCGGCGTGAGTTTAAGCCACCAGGTCCAGAACTCGAACCGCGGTCGACTACATGGGAATCCAGTGACATAGCCATTGTGCCATCTGCTGGTCCTTCCCCTCACTTTTTTTTTAATCATTGGATTAGTAAACATTTTCCTCTTTTCCCAGCACTTTAATAACCTTAAGAAATTTTTTAAATGTTTGCCCCATAATTTTTTATTTTTTGTCAGTGAAAAAATTTTGTCCAACTCAACTAATCTGGCCGTGTTCTCAGAAAAGGAAGTCTCTGTTCCAGATGGGGGCTGGGCCCTTACCCATGCATGAACTTGAGCACATACCCCGCTGACACTCTCCCTACAGGGCAGGCTGGCTATGCAGTGTATAAGTCCATCCCCTACGGCTCCCTGGAGGAGGTGATTCCCTATCTAATCCGAAGGGCCCAGGAGAACCGGAGTGTGCTGTGGGGAGCCCGCAAGGAACAGGAGCTGCTCAGTCAAGAACTGCGGCGGAGGCTGTTTGGGGGAGGCCGAAGGATACCCCATTAGCACTCTGGAGGTTGTGTGGTCAATAAAGGCCCCAAGACTGCTGTCACGCTGAAGTTGCCTCTTGGAGAAAGGCTCACCTCAACCTCAGTCAGCCCAAGTTAGGGAGCCCTGAAGCTCAAGAGAGATCCTTTCTGCCTTCAGTTTTGCTATAGGATGCACATGCTCACCAGAGACACAGAGAAAGTGAGAAACCAAGCCGCCTCAGTCCCTTCTCCATTCTCCTCTTGGGGCTCTGAACATGCACACGAGCGCCTGGCGTGTTTCTCAAACTGCTGGGTCTGGGACTTGAATTACACTCAGATTGGCCACGTGGGACCCAGCGCCTTAACCACCATGCCCCTGGCTGGCCCCAGAGAGATCTTTAGATGACTCTCGAGCACAAGGCATTGCTCAAAGACTAATGAAACCTCCCCTCTCCTCTGAGGTAGCCCATCCTGGGAGGAACCCAGTCAGTCACTGACACAGGAACTTTCTTCACCCCAATGGGTGCCAAAATAAAGAGCACACCACCCAGCCACTTGTGTCAAGGGACTGGACCAGGGTCAGCAGGAGGCATGGTGGCTAAAGTGCTGGACTCCCACATGGCGATTTGAGTCCCAGACCAGCTCAAAAATCACACCAGGTGTGTGTGTATGCCCCAAATCCTGAGAGGACAATGGAGAAGGGACTGCAGCATGGCCCTACCCCATGGGGCATGATTTCTCACTCTCCCCCTCTCTGTGTCTCTCTCTGTCTCTCTCCAGCAAGCGCAGGTGCCCTACGGCAAAAAGAGAGAGAGACAGATTGGGCCAAGGCCACATGCCTGGGGTGGGACAGATGGAAGAGCCACATCACTCTCCGAGTAAACATTGATCTAGACTTGAGCAAATGGTCTTAGGGACAGAACGGTGACAACCACCACCCCAGGCCCTGCCTCACAGGGCTCAGTCCAATAGGGACAGACCCATCTTCAGACAGTGACAGCCCACAAGGGACTGGGCTCAGAAGAGGGGCAGAGGAGGCACTTGACACAGACTGGGGCGATGATCAGGAGGGCGTCCTGGAGAATTCTTAGGAACAACCAGTAGAGACAGGGAAATGAGTTCAAAGGCTGGGGATGTGTGCAAACATTGAAGTGGAGCACAGGTTAGGGACGGGGGAGAGGGGATCGCAGGGGTGGGCAAGCAGACGATGCATTCTTGGATGCTTTTTGCTGGGCGTGAACAATGTCCTAGGTGCCATAGTGAGCCAGGAGGGTTTGGTGGGTGGGGCGGGCAGGGTAGGCTTTACGGAGGGTCCCCCTGGCTGCCATGTGGAAGGAAAGGGGGCCAGTGGAGAGGACAGGAGGCTGAGAGGATGGGCTGTGGGGCTGATGGGCGAGAGGGGAAGGAGACCTGAAGGTTCTGGCTTGGAGGAGGGGACAGTGGAGCCAATCCTGAGACAGCACCCAAGAGAAAATACAGTGTGGGGGAGAGGCTGAGGACACTGTGGGATACAGTAGGTGTGAGGGCTGGCAGGGACATCTTGGAGGAGGCATCCTGTGGGACTTCCAGGTCTGGGACTCAGGAGAGAGGTGACATACTCCGTGGGGGAGGAGGGCAGCATGGAAGAAGCCAAGCAAGGACCACTGCAGGATTAGGAAGGCCAGCTGCCCACAGGAGAGCTGGGGGCAGAGTAAGCCGGAAGAAAGGACCGCGCAGAGCCCGGGGAAGGCTCTGGGGCAGGCATCGGAGTCCCTTCCAAGTCACAGGTAGAAGGGAAGCGTCTCAACGCAGGGAGGCTACTGCGCAGGCGCGGCAAGAGGTCACGGATGCGCATGCACCAGGATTCCCGCCCAGACTGACCGCTGCTGGTGCGTCCGGTCACGTGGCAGTCACGTGGTGACCCCGATCAAGCGCAACGGTAGGTACAGAGCCATTTGGACTAGGATTGGAGAACTTTCCTAGCGTTTTCGGGAACTTCTGGTCTCTGCCAGACCCCTCCCTCAGCCTTCGGGTTCCCCCCGCGGCCCCCACC